CTCTTCCGCGGATTCAAACCTGGATCGTCTAGTTTTAAATGACTGTACACCTTGCACGAAGCATATGTCGAGAGTTTACTGTTGACTCACTTCTGATATAATGGAAAGAAAACTCAATTTTCGATTGGTTTACTCATTTTGAGTTTTGTTCATCATGACTTCCATTTTGATTCAATGTGATGATCATTCATCGTAGTATTTGATTTGTTTTCCCAGTATGATATTTTCTTCTGTATATTATACGATATTCTTGTATTCCGTTGACATGAACCAGTGTATTTTAGATCATCACTGTTATCGTCGTCGTTGTCGTCGTCATAGTGTTTCGGGGCTAATAAATCTTCACTTACTCAGTGACCAATCAATTTAATAAGAGGGGTGTGGTTTTGTGTCTTATAATCCTAAAATCCATGTACCCTATTTGTTTGAAGTCAGTGTTTTTCTCATTCTTTATATAGGCGGATCATTTTTATTCACCAATTTAGTTTAATTGATGTACGTTAACTTTTTACCCTTTAACTTTCGTAAAAAAATACTACTGCTACATGAAGGCAGTGAGTAGAGTTTTCCTGTCAGAGTCTATCAACACAACCATATCAGGACATTTTAAGAAATGAGACAGAGGGAGAAAGAGAGAGCAAACCATACTCACTCTTGACCCTACCAATTCATCTAGTAGTCAAGTATCAATTGCAGCCACATTTGCCAAATTATATTAGTACTAGATTGCGACGCGTCTTTGATTAACTTTAACTTTATATAGACATATTTAGTATCTATTGCATTTATTTAGTTGACTTTTTCATCTACATGTTATTTGAACAAGTGTATGTTGATCGTTTTTGTAGCTAACATGTCTTTTTTTAAGCAATAATAGTTCCCAATTTGAGTGTATAGTGTATTGACTATTGAAAATTGAGATCTAGGTCTGAGTGATTATTTGAAGAATGATTGAGTGACTGAGTGATATGACTGTGAATTGATTGGAATGGCAAATATGCCTTCACTGTTTATCACTCTTCAGAATTTGAGAGAATTCATTTTTACTTTCCTCAATCATATTGTCTATCTTTAATCCTTCTCAGTATTATTATTATTATTATTATTATTATTATTATTATTATTATTATTATTATTATTGATGGTACTGTTACTACTTATGCCACTGTGGCATTTCTCTTGATATGTTCATTTCACTTTACTGATTTGATACATCTATGTCTTGAACTGACTGATTGATGTTGAGAAGCGTTATGAATCATAGAAAACATCGTTGACTTGAAGCGATAGGTAGATTTTTGCAATGTTTTGTGTGTATATGTGTTTGCGTGTATGTGTAATAGGGAAGGAGAGAGGAACCTTTAAATGGTATGGCGTCAATCAACTGAAGATAATATTTGATTGTAGTAAGGCTAACAATCCAACGCACCCAGGTGTCCTGGTATGGTCGAGAGTGGGAGTGGAAAAAGTTCACTCTCTCATCTATAAATCCTCTCATATGGCCACACGCATATACTTACTATCATCAAAGTCTTACTCATATTCTGTCTTCTGGCGATAGGGCTGTTGTTTACGAAATTGACACGAGAAAAACCAATCGTTCCATGTAAACTTAAACTAGATTGATGAATAAGGACGATTCATTTAGACGAGTTCGAAAACATTCCAAATCCAAATCAGTGATTCACATGAATTACAGGCTCTAAGGGAACAAATAAAGTATAAATCTATTGTTGTTCACTTGTTGTCATGGGTACACTTCTCCTAATGTTGCTCTACTGCTTTATGAATTAGACCTCTAGATCAAAGGCTTAAGAAATAACCCCCCTAAGAAAGCTAATTGTTTCGGTTTGGGCATGCACATCAATTCAATGATTTATTGTTTATATGCTTGTAAAAATACATGATACAGTATACTATGTGTATTTCTAATGAGAAATGTTAGTTTTTTTTCTTTATGCTCGATGTATTCAGTATTTTGTTCTTTTAACATTACTCTCTCTCCCCCCTCTCTTTGTCCAATTATATATTATTTAAGGTAGTGGTAATACACCTAGTACAAATATCTACGTTCAATTTTGGCTTACATTAATTCAATTAGCTCAAGATCCTTATCCAGAAGTTTCTCGTCTAGCTACAATTTTAATACAATATCTGTATGGAAAGGTAAAAATCTTAAATGTTTATATTCTTATTTTTTTTACTACCTTCATTTATGTATCATATGTATCTATTGAACTAGTGAAAAAGACTTGTCTATTTAATGTTTAATATCAGAAGGGGTTTTGTGACGATTGTAGTAATTTCAATGGTTAAGATCATGAGTCAGTTGAAACTAGACCAGCATGGAAAACCTGGAAGCACTGGACGGCCGTTTCGTCCTACTGTGGGACTCCTCAGGAGTGCGCATCCACGATCTTGTCAATGGGTTAAATTTCAAATAAAACATTTTGAGAATTATTGGTTGAATCATTCAATCCTATTCACTTGTTAATTAGATTCCCTTAATTCATTAGATGTTAGTTTCTTAACTTGAAGTTGCCTGATCCTGTTTTCGTGTAGTGGGTTCAGTACTTTTTATATACACATCTTTTTGTTTTTGTTTTAATTCCAAACATTTAAATGATCCTATTTGATTTGGTTACTTACTTACTTACGCCTGTTACTCCCAATAGAGCATAGGCCACCGACAAGCAATCTCCAACCCACTCTATCCTGGCTCTTCGTTTCTAGTTCTATCCAATTGTTGTTCATTCTTCTCATATCTGTCTCCTTTTCTCTTCCTCTTCTACTTTGGCCTTGAGGATTCCAGGTGAGAGCTTGGCTTATGACGCAGTTGAGTGCTTTCCTCAATGTGTGTCCTATCCACTTCTTGCGCTTATTCCTAATTTCTTTCTCCGCTGGAATCTGATTTGTTCTCCCCCACATTAGGTTGTTGCTGATAGTGTCTGGCCAACTGTTAATAAACACCTTTATCTTCTGGAAGATGGCTTTCGTAGTTTTCCAGGTTTTCGCCCCATACAGTAGAGCTGTCTTAACATTTGTATTGAAAATTCTGACCTTGGTGTTGGTTGACAATTTTTTGAGTTCCAGATGTTCTTTAGTTGTAAGTATGCTGCTCTTGTTTTTTCCGATTCATGCCTTCATTTCTGCATCAGATTCACCGTGTTCATCAATGATGCTACCCAGATATGTAAACGTTTTTACATCCTCTAAAGCTTATCCGTCAAGTGTGATTCGATTGGGACATGCTGCCTTGTATCGGAGAAGCTTGCTTTTCCGTTTTTGTATGTTGAGACCTACTGCTGCTACACTGGTCGTCTTCTCCTGCATTTTTTGTTGCGTTTGCGATAGAAGAGCCAGGTCATCTGTAAAGTGTAGATCATCCAGCTGCATCCTAGCTATCCACTGTGTCCCATGCTTCCCCTCAGACGTTGACGTCTTCATTATACAGTCGATCACCAGGAGAAAGAGAAAGGGTGAGAGTAAGCAACCTTGGCTGATACCGGTCTTTACTTTGAACGAGTCTGTCAGCTGTCCTTCATGCACGATTTTGCAGTTCAATCCATCATAGGAATTCCGTATGATGTTGACTATCTTCTGAGGCACGCCGTAGTGTCGAAGAAGCTTCCATTGTGTGGTCCTGTCCACATCAAATGCTTTCTCGTAGTCAATGAAATGGATGCAGAGTGATGAATTCCATTGAATTGATTGTTCCACAATGATCCGTAATGTTGAGATTTGGTCTGTGCACGAATGATGCTTACGGAATCCTGCCTGTTGTTCTCGAAGTTGAGCGTCCTCGGAGTCCTCCATTCTGTTTAACAGTACCCAGTTGAAGACTTTTCCTGGTATTGAGAGAAGAGTGATGCCTCTGTAGTTCTCACACTTGCTGAGATCGCGTTTCTTTGGTATCTTGATCAGGTGTCCTTCTTTCCAGTCTGTTGATACTTGTTCTTCATCTCAGATCTTGCTGAATTGGGTTGGTATTCACTGGTTTATAAACTTATTTAATATAGTGATCAATTTTATTTATCGTGACAATACAACTCAACTTTTTAACTGGACCTTCTAATTCAGTAGGTCGTACAACAAAATGTATTTCGTTTTCCCAAGTTGTGATTCTTCTACCTTCTATTGTAGTCTCTATAGTGTCATTCCCACCGACATTACCGTCTCATGAAATGAGGCTAATACTAAAAACACTATACTTTCAGATTTCCGGTATCACTGAAAGGCTTGAAAACTGCGGAGCAAATATATTGTTCATTGTTCACAAAAACCATTATACTTGACCTAATTTCTTGTTATGACAAGTTTTTCAGTAATCATCCAGATGTTGCTAAATTAATGTCTTCGAATATAGATTCAAATGTCAATCTCAACCATTATTCAGCTTTCTGATGCATCTTATTTCAACGGTTAATGATTTTATGCTCTAGCACTACAACTGTGGTGAACGAAGACTTGTTGGAAATAACTAATTTATTGTTAAATGCAAAATTACAGTATGCCTTTGTTAAATATTACAACTATACATTAAATGCATCATTTGCTCATCTTCCATCCATTGTCCATTACACACTTCATGATTCTGTTGTTATTAGAATTCTTTTCTGTTTACAATCCTGTTCTCTTCAACTCGATTTCCTAAGCCAGGCATTGCACTTCGGATTAGTGCTACATACTCCTTCTATCTGTCAGCATAAGTAGCATACACCGCACTACTTCTATTCCCACCATGATCTCATCAGCACTTTTCTAGACTACTGATATTCTTCTAGCCAGTGGTTGAGATTACGTAAGTGATCACTCGTGTGTGTGTGTGTGTGTGTGTGTAAAATACATGGGTATCATTCAGTGTAGTTTACAATGTTTCACAACTCTTGCTCTATAAATAAGTTCTACGATTTTGCTTAGTATGGTATTTGAGTAACTATGGACATGATAATTTCTTTATTATCTATTTTCTTGCTTCTCTTTTTTTCTCCCTTGTGTAGATTCGTGAAAAGGTATGTAATGTGTTGATTACGTAGTAAAATTTGGATTTCATTAATTTAATGTTATTATGGTATTGTATATTAGTTATCAGTCAGTCAGTCAGCTGCAACGTAGGATCAGGCACGTATATGCATCGGTCCAAGTTGCCATACCACATTAGCACAACAAGATCAACACCGGATTCATAGAAGTAGTTAATTCAGTGGTGGTAATATATAGAAGAGTGTGTATAAGGAGATAGTACAGGAAGAAAGAATTAGTTCGTAGAAAGAAAGACTTGAAGTAATTTTAATCTCTTAGTTTAAAGGAAGACAGAGAGAGTATACACCGAAGCCATTGTGATCGATTCTGAGCCATGTCACCAAGAGTCTCCAACCATTGGTTACGATAGTCACGCGGACCCCAACCAGGTAGTCTGAATCTACCAACATGGCTCAGACCAGAAGTTAGTGACTTCAAGCACTGATGCCACGTTTTGGTTTGGCCGCCCCTAACTTTCTTCCAATTATCCCCTGCACTAGTCAGCATTGCGCGTCGTGGTAATCGGTGTTCAGGCATACGCAGCACGTGGCCCAACCATCTCAGTCGATGAAGGTTCATAACCTCATCAACTGATTTACCATCATTCCCTAATACCCTGCGTCTAACCTCACTATTACTTACCCGGTGATCCCAGCAGATACCCGCAATATTTCTAAGGCATCTGTGGTCAAATACTAGTAACTTACGAATATCTTCTACTCTTAAAGGCCAAGTTTCGCAGCCGTATAGTAGAACGGAACGAACTGCCGCGCAATATACTCGTCCCTTAATTGATAGACGGATATCTTGCCTTCGCCATAGATGACGTAAGTTGGCAAAGGCCAAACGAGCTTTTCGAATCCGTGCTGAGATTTCGTTTTCTCAAGTTCTCCGTATTTAATTACTTACATTGGCACCGAATATATATACGCCATATAAATCACTTGATTTATCTGCGGGCTGTGATACTATCCGGATGCCTAGATCGAAGTAGATGGTTTTCGTAGGGGGTCACGTCTGTACAACCGGTGTTAGAGATTATTGGAAGAAAGTTAGGGGCGGCCAAACCAAAACTTCTGGTCTGAGCCATGTTGGTAGATGCAGACTGCCTGGTTGGGGTCCGCGAGACTGTCGTAACCAATGCTTGGAGACTCTTGGTGACATTGCTCAGAATAGATCACAATGGCTTCGGTGTATACTCTCTCTGTCTTCCTTTAAACTAAGAGATTAAAATTACTTCAAGTCTTTCTTTCTACGAACTAATTCTTTCTTCCTGTACTATCTCCTTATACACACTCTTCTATATATTACCACCACTGAATTAACTACTTCTATGAATCCGGTGTTGATCTTGTTGTGCTAATGTGGTATGGCAACTTGGACCGATGCATATATGTGCCTGCTTCTACGTTGCAGCTGAATGACTGACTGACTCACCTCTGTAATCTTCGACCTAACAGTCTGATTACAAGGCAATGGAGGGTGATCAATGATTGGTTCATACATCATTTGTTCCTTCAGGATACTGGATCCCATATACACCGATGGTTTGAAATCAGTGTTTGCCAATTCCCTTATGTGCACTCTCCGTGTTCACCATCCCTAATAAAGCGCCCGACATTCGCTTTTCGGCCTCTCAATTTCGTAAACAACAATTCTGCCTTCAGAGGGCAGTGAATAGGGCATCCCTGACAGTGGCTGTATACGCTTAGCCATGTGAGAGCATTTCGAGGGGGTGAGATGACTCTCCCCACCCTGTGTCATACCAGGGCATTTGGGGGCAAGTTCTCTCACCACATTACCACAAATTTAGAGAGCTCAGTCGACTTTCTCTTATTCACTTCATTTGTGATGTTGGTGAATTAACTTTACGCCAACTAATGACGTGTTTGTTATGTAGCAGTTTTTTCCGTTCTACTCTATAGCTGTAAAATGTGGTCTTTAAAAATGGGAGATATTCGTAGGTTACTGGAATTAGATCATAGGTACCTTCGAACAATTGCTCGTGTATTTTGAGGATATAGAGTCAGCAATTCTGAAATTAGACACAGAGTACTAGTTACGCATTACAAGTTTATTGATGAGGTACTGAATTACTATCGAGAGTGAGATGTTTGGATCATGTATTATTTATTTCCATTCAACCACCTCGACGCGTTATGATTGGTGGTGTTATAGTGAGTAGATTGGAAGAAAGCTATGGATGGCTAGACCAAGATAGGGGATTAGTCCATGAAGACGCTAATCATTGGATATAGATAGGTCTCAATTACGTATTTGGAGCTTACGAAATGATCTTAATTATTAGTTTGAGACTTTGAGTAACCTATTGGACAAGGTCACTGTGAACTGGTGTCACATTTTGGTGTAGTGATTCTTTGGCGAGACTATCATTTATGGACGAACCAATAAGATCTACGATAACAGGTCTGAGATTTTGGCGCGAAATTCATTCACCCATTCGGCTAAATAGAGTTTTGGCATTGTAGCTGACGTCAGTTCGTGATGAAAACCCTAAATCTAATTCCTAACCCCAACCATCAACTGTAAATCTTAATCCTTATTCCTTAAACTGCTTTATAACCCTCATTTAACCCTAATAAGTAGGTAGACACTCTCAAGGTCACTTTAACGTCACTCAAAGGTCGTCCATAAATTATAGTCTCACCGATTCTTTGCTTTCTTTTAACATATTCCTATCATTTCTTGAAATCGGTAGTAGCTATTGCTAGGTAACACAAAGTCTGTCACTGTAGTCCATAAAGAATATACTAAATGAAATTTAGGAAATAAATTGATTATTAAGTAGATAGTCCCAAGTGCGACATCTAATCATTGGTTAAGAAAACAATTGTTTCCTCTTAACTTGAAACTTTTCAGTAGTTCATATTCATGATCTGATTGACGAATAAGTTGTAGAGGAATTTCCTATATTTCCAGTTTCAAACCATTTCATGGTAGTAAAAGACTATTATCTCTTTTGTATTGACTGCATTTTTCCACAGCTTCTTATTCTGACTTTTAGAATTCGTCTCAAAATTAGTCAGTCATTAAATAAACATATGATTATTGTCATAAGTCTATTGTTATGGACTCAACCAACGTATAAAGATTCGTGTACTTATCTTTAAGCTATCAATTAAGCATAATAACTAATCTTACTGCTTAGTTACGTAAACGGAAATAGATGAAGCCATCTATTCAAACGTGTTACTTAGTAGCTGAAAGTCTAACTCTTTAACCAACTAAACCACCACTCGAACTACTTTTAGGAATAAAGGTCTTTGGAGCGAAATGAAATAATTTGATTAAATAAGTTGTTGATTTTTCCTTGAGTTACATGAAATCAGTTCAAGTTGTAAATTACAAATGTTTCATGTTGCGTTTTATTACTTTCTAAAACTTTGATTTCACCGATGATTTCTTTTTATTGATTGTTTATTTGTTGTTCATCATTTCGCTGTTGATTATCAAAAAGGCTGAATTTCAAGCTATTTGTTACAATTCACCTAATAATGATGATACAAATGATAAATGTATAACATATGAGGATACAGCTTTAATCTCATCATTGAATACATCATTCACAAGTAGTAATACATCTACTGACAATGCATCAAATACTGTAAACGAATTGAATTCTACACATGATAACAACAATTCAATCCGTTCAGAAAAGTAAGTTTTTTTTTTTTTCTGTGACAGAGATTTGTTTAATTCTTATCGATTGAGTTTACTTTATCAACTAACTCCATAGAGAGAAAGAGAGAGAGATGGTAAATCACAAGAGTTAATTGAAGTTAGAAATCTGTACCATTGAAGATGATCATGTTTTGGTCTCTAATGAGATTATAGATTATTACTATGTTTTCTGTTCGATTATCTCCAAATGCCCTGGTACAGCCGAGAGTGGGGAGAATCTGCTCTCCCTCTCGAAGTGCTCTCACATGGCCACGTGTATATAGCCTCTGCCAGGGAAGTCCTACTCACTGCCTTCTCGTGGCGGGGGTGTTGTTTACGAAAATGAGAGGACGAAAAGCGAATTTCCGGCGCTTTAACCGGACCCCAAACCAATGGTGCACATGGGCTGGCTCCAGTATCCTGAAGGAACAAATGGCGTATGAACCAATCGTTGGTCACCGGCTACCATGGGACTGCATTTCCTCACGATGCTCCACTGCCTTGTGGATCAGACCTTCAGGTCGAAGGCTCTGGGTATGGCCGCCTAAGAAAAACACTTGCTTCGGTTTGGGCATCCGGGCAGTATCACAGCCCTCACACATATATATTTTACACTTATTGTTAGGTATCCAGCAATTTACATACTTAACCATAAATCGTTCATAGATTAAATAATGTGATTTTGTTTACAAAACTTTTTGTCTATTTATTTATTTTAGTGCTTCTATTAAAGAATTAAGTTCTAATTGTATTACACCAATTACTACTACTTCTGCATTACAAGTGACCACTACAAATTCCTCTTCTAGTTCCCTTATTCATTCTGCACAATTCCCAGGTCGACGACATCAACAAACTGATCAACGGTTACGTGTATCTATCACAAATTCTCCACAATTCCCTAATACAATAATCTCTAATAACACTGTAAGTTCTTTTCTGTAAATCGTTTTATCAAAAAATTGTTTTTCAATCAGTTGACTGGTAATATTCATATTTAGTTTGATGTGTGGTAAGATCATCCAATCTTATTTACTTACTTACTTACGCCTGTTACTCCCAATGGAGCATAGGCCGCCGACCAGAATTTTCCAACCCACTTAGTGATTTATCGACCGGACCAATTACACATAAACCTGTACGAGAGAAACGTGCCCATTAAGGGTAGAGGATACGCGTAAGCTACTACTATTTGGTCACATATGTCTTAAAAAAATTGCCAGCATCTGCTGGGGTTTACGGGTAAGTAATAGCGAGGTTAGACGGAGGCTATTAGGAAACGATCAGTTATGACTCTTCATCGACTGAGATGGTTAGGCCACGTGTTACGTCTACCATTGAAGTAACTACTTCTATGAATCCTGTGTTCATTTTGTTGTGCTAATGAGGTGTGGCAACTTGAACCGATGCATGTATTTGCGTGGTCCTACGTTGTAACTGACTGACTGACACCAGTTTAGCATACGTTGACACTTAATTATTGAGTAATGTTTGAAAATATTTTTTGTTTTTATTATGATTAGGTAACATCTGGATTTCCGGCCACTACTACTATTAGTAGTGGTAGTAATAGTAATTACCCGTCATCCCTAGATACTGTACATACACAGTTTTTTGCTTGGTCTTGTCGGTGGTTTACTCGTCCACTTTTATCTAAATATGGGCAATTGAAAAATGGACAATCAAAAAGTCAAACTACCTCAAAAAGCTCCTTCGGTAACTATTTGACATTATTCTTTATTTTTTTTGCATATGAATTTCGATTTCATCACTCGTTGTTGATGTGAGCTGATCAGTTTCTGTTAGATAACGACAGCAAATCAGCTGGTGTTGTTGGGAAGTTTTGTCGATTAAGCTACTATTGATGACAGGGGAATTTATTACACATGCCTAGACACTACATCCTTTAACATGTGATGTTGGATGATGTAAGTATAAGGTCATGAAGTCATTGACTGTTGTATGTATCTATATTAGTATGTATAGAACACTAGGTTGAAGTGTACTCAATCGATATATACAATGGGTGATTTGGAACAGTGTCCGTCCATTCTTGCTTTTTTTCTAAGTCCTGAATGGTAACCTGACCGTTGTTGCTACCTTGACGTGGTGGTCGGGCTTGCCTATCGTGATGAAGCAACTGAGCTATACTGGCTGGAACAACCGTTCCTCAAGGTCCTACCATGCCAGACAGGTCGGTTGAAGAGCGGTAAGACTAAAAGCAACAAAACCAAGGTCCGAAGGCGAAGTCGTACTGCTGACTGTACAGAGATGTGAGAGCAGTAAGGTGTTTCCTTCAGACAACCAGCATGACAGCGATGCTGCCTTCCCACAAGGAGGGGTGGGGTTAGAAAAGGTCGACCCTAAAAATGCACACCTCGCCTTATCCCACGGATATCCGTCTCCGGCGGTAAGGACTCAACAAGTACGGAGCTAACACAAAAATCACTCATAAAAAGGTCGTGTGTGACCGACCTCAAGCAGCTGTCCCTTGGGCTCTGCGGTCACGCTCTCAGGTCACTATGACCAACTCTAATCCAATTTCCTTTTCAGGTACCTCCAGAAGAACCCTTCCACGGTGTGGGCAACCGGGAAGTGATAACGGCCCTCATACCTCTAACAGCACTCAAGACCACTGTATTCCTATTCCTGAATGGTAAGATTACCTTTCAGACGTTACTTCAAATACACATTCCGTCTTCAACTGTTTTATGTAAGGCTGATATTTCTTTCTACTACTGTTATGTTGACTACTTCCACTACTCTTACATTTGTTTTCATTTTATCATCTGGTTTTACTTATATTTTTGGACAATTCGAAGCGATACACTCACATCACCTAAGACTTGATGATTGGTAAATATTTGGTGGCATACTATGGATGTTATTATGAATATGATTTCCCTTTTATTGGCAAAGCTTATTGATCCGATTTACCTACATACACTTGGAATCGAACTCAACACTCATCGTTCTAAACTCAACTACAAACCACCGACCGCTTTACAATACACAACCAGTTCATTATATTTTGATTTTTGATGGCTTGAATTATGTTTCATTCTTTTTTATCGTGAATGTGAACACTATGACGGTGAATAATCTATTTGATAAGCACTTGCAAACCATTTCTCTGCAACCTGACGCCATATTCGTGATCAAGTTTCAAATGTGTTAGATATCATGAACCAAATTCTGTCTCAGTTTCATATTTACACTCATCGTCTCTCTCTCTCTCTCTATTCTGCTACATATATTGAGTGTCTTATCCATTTGTTCCGACTTGAGTCGTGTAGGCTTGATTCTCATTTACACCCAGTGCTTTTATCCTTCATGAGGAGATAAATGTTAGTGATTGTCACTTCTCATTTACTCATATCTTGTAAAGGTACTTCTTGGGGTACCTGAATAGCGAACTTGATTAATAGTAGGGGATAAGTTTGTTTGTCCAAAGAGTGCATCCACTCTTTGTGTTCTCCCAGCTTCTAATCTTCTGAATTCTTGATGTACCTTTCCTTTTTATCTTTCCAAATTTATTTCACTGGATTATACTCCTTGAATGACATCTTCAAATCAAATCTTTCCGATTACTGCTTATACTCTTACTACCTCTATCACTACGGGATTCGAATCGACAACTGTGCTAATGTAATATAGTAACTCGAACTGATGTACGTACCTACGAAGTTCTACGTTGTTACTGACTGACTGACTATTTGTTCAAAGGACAAGTGGTACAGGCTGTTGAGAAAATGATCTTAATATGAATAGTTCTTGATAAGTTAACTCCTTACATTTAAGTTCTTTCTACAGACGAGAGCAATTCGTGAGATAAGATGAATTCTGTTACCTCCATGGTCGTACTTTTCTAACCTTTTCCTTCCATTGTAGGAAGCCAACATCTTTGTATGAGTTGATTGTCTGAAATTAGCAGCTTATTAATGTTACACCTCGGATCTCACCTTGGTACTTTTAGTTTCATCGCTTTTCAATTGATCTACTTGCGACAGAAAAATTTAAGAAAGTGAGTATTCCAGACAATATTTCTTGGTTGTCCCATCATGATAGGGAAATCCTACCACTGGTTCAATTTGTTAGCCCACGGTCAATTGTCTTGATATTATTGTTTTTGTATTAGTGTTGATATGACATTACTTATTGTTAGTAGTATGACTATTACCTTTCGCTGTACTACTAACTAGCTTTTGTTATTGTTGTAACAATTATCCACAGATTATGAACCAGTCTCATTGGGTACAATCTCTATTGATCCAAAAGCAGTCGCTTATACAGATCGTGTGAATCGTTTAAAAAAACAACGAAAAATATCTCATCTAGGACGTTTACAATGGGAACGTGTTGCTGGACAAATTTCACATCCAATAGTTACATCTTCTTCAAATACTAACACTACAACAACTACAATCAGTCGAAATATTTCATTTTGTATTTCAACATCTACCAATACTACTAATAATATTAGTAGTAGTAGTAGTGTTGGTAGTAGTAACATGAGTAGAAGTCGTATTAGTCTTCGTAGCAATGACAGTGGTGATAATAATATAAATAATTCCTTAGATGATTATTGTTTACATCCTATAGCTTTTTATAATCATCATGGCAATAATAATAGTAATGATAATATTTGTTCTATATCAAGTCAAGTGAAATTTCATCCATATCAACCTCATTTAGTGATGATTAATTCAGAACGTAAAGGTCTTACAATACATTCAACCAAAAATCTAAAACTTTTACATTCAATTAATACATTCACTACAAAATCATCATTATTCCCTGATTTTCCTTCAACTATAGATGGGTAAGTTGAATTGAATATTGATGACTATGATTTATACTGATTTTTTTTAGTTGATACGAACTATTGCAGTTGTACGATCAATGACAAAAGATATGCTCTACTCTACATTGGTGCAAAGAGGAACCAAATATATGTGTGCCACACAAATCATTCAATTTTTGTAAGGTTTGGAATACTGTCCGGGTGCCCAAACGCAAATAGGTGGTTTTCCTAGGTAGTCACGCTTGGAGCTTTTGACTTAGTGATCTAATCCACAAAGCAATGGAGCACCGTTAGGAGATCCGGTCTTATGGTAGCCTTTTTTATAGATAGGGTCGATTATCGACTCATTCCATGACTTTGGAACTGAGTTAGTTCCTTAACCAGAAAGTCACCACCATCAATTAAATTTCACATTAGAAGTGAATTTGTTTAAAAAAATGTTTTGTGGAACTCAAGGGTGTTTAGTTGTGTTGCAGACAGATAGATCGAAAGTTATATATATATATATATATATATATATATATATATATATGACTTGTAATATTTCCTACTCTTTCTATTAAGTCATAAAATATGCTTTGCTCATCTGAGATCCACTCGGTGTTTTTTTAATTGGTAATTAGTCGAAATGTAAAATATGGTTAAGTGTTGTTGTGTGTAAAACCAATCGAATATGATAATTTTGACACGATAGAATTGCTTGCTACTTAGACGGTGAGTGAACAGTTCAGATGGTTTGCTCATCCATTCATTTAATTTCCGCAACTGAAGTGTTCTGTCCCAACGTGCTATGTAGTCATTTACTATTGACCTATATTCTATCTCTCTATGTTGTTAGGTGCAAACTGCTAGTCCTTCTACAGTTAACCAGCTGGTTAAACTGTGTAGAGCTTTCATTGTTGTTCAAGAAACGAGCACAAAGTAGCAGCCAAATGACTGTTATATCTTGTGATCCGCCTATTAGAGAGCAGTGTATTATCGATCCAAACAGTGGCGCATAAAATACGTGCGAGCAGTCTAGAGTCCTGATTGGTCCTGTTTCCCTGTCTAGTCCAGCCACTTGAGTCCAGAACACAAATCTCAGCCTCGGTGATATGAATCGTTATATTTCAAACATACTGAGTTTATATACCGATCAAACAGACCACAACGTATCAATAAAATATGAAACAACATTTGTACAAGAATTAGCCAGATGTGGCTGTGAACGAGGGAGATAGCAATCAATAGATAGGGCATAACTGAAGAATGGTAAAACGTACAATAATAGTTCATAGGTCAAAATAAAACTCATAATAAGAGGGACATGGATATGAACAGATTAGTGACGTAACAATTATATGATAAAAATATACTCGTAATATCGGTTCATAAATGGATCCCAAGAATTATCATTCACTATTTTTATCGGGATACAACAATGACACATTATGTTTTCACTATATAATACCAGTCAACATGTGAATCAACATTTGAATCGATAACTGGATCTCTGTGCTAATATGGTATGGCAACTCGAACTGATGTACTTACGTACGTACGAAGTTCCATGTTGTTTCTGACTGACTGACAACATGTGTAGTCACAAACATGAATTCGAGAGCTCGGAACCTGGAAATTCTAAGAAATGCTTAAGCATTTTTAAAAACATGATCCGACATACCAGGTTTAATACAGAAACGTTTAGTTAATCACATAGTCAAAGATCAATCAACTTAACTACATAACAAGAATACAAAGACAAGTAAATTTACAAATTAAGCCAATTGCAAACAGGATTACCAGCATAAATTGATCCAGAGATTGAGAAATAACTGATAACCCATTTCTACATGAATTAGAATCTGAAAATATTGTTCAGAATGAAAATAAAAGCTTCTTAATTTGACTATTTTATTCAGAGAACCAAAAGAGGCGATCCATCTGAACTGTAAATTATTTTCGTCATATGTTTTACACCTACTATGCTTAATTGTTTTAGATATTCACGTGTTGGATACGTCACTGATATTGAATTTATAAATGCAGATGAGGAGGAAAGTTTGTTGCTAACTGCAACAGATGACGGTTACATTCGTATATGGCGTAATTATACACATCATCTTGGTCAAGATCCTGAAATCCTAACTGCTTGGTAAGGTTATTACGTTGAATATATATATATATATATATATATAATTTTCGATTTGAAACATTCCCTTATTGTTATTTAGAACAATATATGTTAGCGAACATTAGTCTTTGCGTATATAGCCTCTACCAGGGAAGTCTTACTCACTGCCTTCTCGTGGCGGGCGTGTTGTTTACGAAATCCAGAGGACGAAGAGCAAATGTTCGACGCCCTAACCGGGTTCGTGGACACGGAGGGTCCTCCTAGGGGAGTTGGAAAACCCTGATTACAGACCAACGGTGCACATGGGCTCCAGTATCTTGAATGAACAAATGACATATGAACCAATCGTTGGTCACCGACTACCATAGGACTGCATCTCCTTACGATGTTCCACTGCCTTGTGGATCAGACCTTCAGGTCGAAGGCTCTGGGTATGGCCGCCTAAGAAAAACACTTGCTTCGGTTTGGGTGTCCGGGTAGTCTCACAACCTTCACACAATTCAAATGAGATTAGTGTGGTGCATATGTATTTGGTGCCTCCTCGTACCAGTATCTATTTGTTCAAATACATAAATAAAAATAAGGCTTTGTTATAATATATAATAATATTTGTACAAAATGTCATGCGACTTGTATTTTCACTGAATTTCACCTCCAAGATCAACAATCTCGATTCATGTGGTAATAATATATCCTGGATCTTGATTGTCTTAAACGTTAGAAGTAATTTTCACTAGAGAGACTTTTGAGTATAATGTATTGATTACTTTTGTAGTGATAATCACATTGCCATAACTTCCATTTATTTTTAATGGATCTGCAAGAAATAATGCTATCTTTGTATCACTTCTTTGCATCTGTCACTCCTAGTAGAGCATAGGCCGCCGACTAGGATTCTCCAGCTAGCTCTGTCAAGGACTTTTTTTTCCAGTCTTCCCCAAATCCTATTCAGTATTTCGATGTCTCCGTCTGATTACCAGCACAACCTTGAACTCTTCTAGGGTCCCAAGCCTAAATAAAGGAGGAAGGTTGGGCATGGGATTAACAACTCTATTCCGTGGAAAAGAACTTTTTTGTCATATTTCAATGGCTAGAAAATTTTATTTCTTATGTTTCGTTATTTAATGTTAACAATTTTTTCATAGTAAATAATTAACCGGCATTGATACCTATAAATTTCTGTGTTCTAAACTAAGTGGACTCTATGAAACTTGCATACTACGTTTGAGACAATAGTCATCTACCTATTAAAAACTTATTTCGAGAGTTTATTCTTGAAATTCTAGTGAGAATTCATTACTAATAGATTTTGATCATGGTCGGAACTGAGGTAGTTACCGATTAATAGGATTAAATGATAGTTACACAATACTATAAATAAATTGATATTAGATTTGTGAACTATTGGATGTGAACTTGATGATTTGTCAGTTAAACACTTTCTATATGATCTGGAGATCCTGAATTCGATTCCCATTTTTTTGGGGGGGGGTTATAAATTCACGAACTGGCATTGATAATTTTTCGTTTAAAGTTTTGTAAAGTTTAGTTCAAATTGAATGGTAATATCATCTGTGCACAGTTTCATTGAATTAATGTTATAGAGAACAATATACACAACTTTCATGTGAATATAGAAAACACTTAAATGGTTATTCGGATTCATCTGTTTCCTTCAGTTGATGGTATCCTTTTGATTTTTTTTTCTTATTTTTCCCTTCTAATTTTGTCTCGGAGATAGATACTTACACTCAAGTAGGATATGGTTTTATAGGAGATTGAGTATAGAGAGTGTTTTAAGATGATAGTAACATATTCTTTTGACTATGTAGAGTGGAGATTTCGATATATATCAATATTGTTTTCACAATGAAAACTCTTATAAAATTACTTTTAAACTAAGTTCAGGAATGATCTACAATCAGAGAATTGGTGGATGGTTGATTTGCATAATAGTTGTAAAGAATGTTTTCATGATGATTAGCATAGGTTTTAATAATCGATCATAAGGTACAGAAAGTCATTCGGTTTCGACAATTTTATATTGTATGTTTTCATGTGGTCTCTTCATTTCATTAACTTTTCTATAGTAATAATAATAATAATAATTGAATCTTTTCTTTCATTACATAATTCAAAGGAATGGTATAACAGATTTATATCAAACTGATTATCCAGTTGGTGTTGTTGTTCATTGGAGTCAACAAGCAAATCAACTTATTGTATCCGGTGATACACGTATTATACGTATATGGGATTGTTTATGTGAATCAAAACTAAGAGATATTAATACAGGATCAGATACATCAGTTACATGTTTAACAAAAAGTATAGATAATCATTTATTGGCTGCTGGATTCAATGATGGTGGTATACGTGTTTGGGATATACGTGTACCATCTTTGAATCATATTAGTTGTAATAATATTAGTAGTAGTGGTAGTAATAATAGTTGTAGTAGCAATGATAAGTAAGTTAATTATATTTTAATTATTTTGTTTTTTTTTACAAACAATAATTCTAAATCTTAAATCAGAGTTCAGCTCCTTAGATTGATAGATCTTATAGTAGTATATGTCATTGAAAGGTATAATAAAAAAGGTGCAGTCAATGAGTCAGCTGCAACGTAGGACCAGGCACATATATGCATCGGTCCAAGTTGCCATACAGCATTAGCACAACAAGATGAACACCGGATTCATAGGAGTAGTTAATTCAGTGGTGGTAATATATAGAAGAAAGATTGTGTATAAGGAGAAAGTACAGGAAGAAAGAATTAGTTGGTAGAAAGAAAGATATGAAGCGATTTTAGTCTCTTAGTTTAAGGGAAGACAGTGTATACACCGACGCTCAAAATCGTTTGCAATGGCGCAGGTGCATCCACTCTTTGTGTTCTCTCAAACTCTAATCTTCTGAATTCTTCATGTCCTTTATTTTCTTTCCAAATTTATTCCACTGGACTATACTCCTTAAATAACATCATCAAACCTTAATGTTCCCTATCTCTACTTATACTTTCATTACCCCTACCACTATGGGATTTGAATCGATAACTGAATCTCTGTGCTAATGTGGTATGGCAACTCGAACTGATGTACGTACGTACGAGGTTCCACGTTGTTACTGACTGACACCGACGCCATTGTGAGCCATGTCACCAAGAGTCTTCAAGCATTGGTTACGATAGTCACGCGGACCCCAACCAAGTAGTCTGCATCTACCAACATGGCTCAGACCGGAAGTTAGTGTCTTCAAGCACTGATGCCACGTTTTGGTTTGGCCGCCCCTAACTTTCTTCCAATTATCCCTAACACCGTTTAGCATTGCGCATCGTGGTAATCGATGTTCAGGCATACGCATAAATAAGGTGCATTAACTTTTTACAAGCTCTTTACTTGAATTTGAAAGAACTATGGTTGGAATCGATAACTTCAGTTGGTATTCTTCAGAGTTGTTCACTTTTCCCGTTTCATTTAGTTTTGTCATAAACATTTTTTTCAAAAGATAACGATCTCATCGTCTGAGTTTTCAGGGTTTGATCTTCTAATTGGAGGTTCTTTTGCTTACTTCAATAATAATATTGTTCCATTTGGTGACAATTTTGTCGTCATTCTTTAATGCTATTATTCTCTATGCTCAAAAACTTTACGTGATTGAATGTAGTCATGATAAAGGTACCCACCGAAAACTCTCATCTACCTCAGACAGCAAATGAGAATTGCACGATATTATGTGATAATTGGTTTTAGACATTGATACCTTTGAACGTCTTCTCAGTGGTCTAGAGGTTAACCAGTCAGTTAATCAGTTCACTCGCAACATAGAACCTGATACGTATGTAAATCGGTTGACGTTGCCATACACAATTAGCGGAGTGATCGAGTCGTCTAGCTAAATCTCATAATATTACAGGATTGATGTCATGTTTCCGTTTTACCCACTAGTATCCTTCCAGACTACTGTAACATCAGACACCATCTCTATTCTACATGGGAAGAGAGTTAACCGCCCGTACACAAAACCGAAGGTTTTGAGTTCGACTCTTAGACGAAAGGTCTTGTGTATCTACTCCATACTATTTAAACGAAATTGTCACATAGTTCATAATTTCAATGAAATTCAGCAACTCTGTACTGTTTTAATCGAATATTCTTCACTAACTGATAATGATTTCCTTGAATAATAATATTTTACTATTGAGATCATGAATCTACTGATGTTAGACCACCGTTGGAAACCTGGAAGCACTGGACGGCCGTTTCGAAAATATTTATCATATTTGGAAATGCAATTGTTATATGTTCTATAATTTCATTATCTCGTATTTTTATTCTTCTCTAGTCTTATTTTCAACAGTCAAGCTGATACTGCTAGAATTTTCAAAGTTGTCTTTTCATCAACTAATCGATTATATGCTGTTGGTGCTATGGGTGGAATTGGTGCTTGGCAATTATCATTTCCAACTGAGAATAATAACATTACTCCTACAACAATTACTTCAAATACTTCACTTCTATCAAATTCATTGAATTCTAATAATAATGACAACAGTACTCGTAACGATCATATCAATTTATCAAATCATCCACGTAGATATATATCCACAGTGGTAAGATCATCTACAAATAATCCTATTAATAATTCTTCAACAACTCGGCGATTTCGACGTTTACCTTGTCCACCACGCTTATCATTACCAATGAATTCATCGGTTAACTGTGCTGATTTATTGGTAAGTTGTTTGAAAATCATTAATATTTGAGTGAGTCTTTTTCTTACCTAACTCTTGAAGGTTCCACTATAATCAGAAAAGACAAAGCACTTGATTCACTGTTAGCTGATGTATGATTTGGTTAAAATTGTACGTGCAGAAATGCATCAATGCATGAAGTCATACACTATTCATAGTGAATAATGGTGGTATATTTGGGAGATGTTATTCAGAAGTCACTTGAATTTCATGATTATAGTGCAAACAATTTCTTCAGAGTTAATAAATGATTGTCGGAGTCTTTGAATGATATTGTTCAGAATGAGTTAGAATGACGCAAATGTATTCGCTCGTTTGTTTTCCTTTAGATCTTAAGTTTTAATATTGTCTCACAGTTCTCTTTATACTGAGAATTCCTTCATTCCTACAAACGCCCTCGTACGGTCGAGAGCAGGGGAAGTTCATTCTCCCTCTACAAATGCTCTCGCATAGTCATATGTATGCAACCACTGTCAGGGAAGTCCTACACCTGAACCTGGTACTGTAACCGGGTAAGTGGTCACGGAAAATTCATCTTAGGGGAGTTGGAAAACCATAGTTCCAAACTGATGGTGCATATGGGTTCCAAGATATTGCGGGAATAAATGGCGTATAAACTTATCGTTAATCACTGGCTACCATGGGACTGCATCTCTTAACATTGTTTTACTGTTCTATGGATTACAGCTTTAGATCACTGACTGGTTGAAAACTAATTGTTTTAATTATCATTTAAACATCACTCTACTTGAAAATAACACACTAATGTTTTCAACCCTGTCACCCTAATAATTTACTTACTGTCAATCATGCTTCATTATAAGCTTCACACTACAGAATGAATTTTGAAGCATATGATAACGATTTCTCGACCATATCAGGGCATTTGGGTCTGTAATAATAAATACGTAGATCTTTTTGCCGAATTTCCAAACTTCATTTTATTATACATATGTATGTATTATTACTTTGTTTTACTTAGGTTAATCTATCATCACCGCATGCACATCTTGCATTGGCTGGAATTCGTGGTCAATCAAGTATTTCATTACATCGTATTCAAGATGGTAGTTTACATTCTTCTATCAAAAATTTTAATATTACTAACAATAATAATTTTAGTCGTGAACAATTTGGAACTCCCACTTGTTGCGCTTTTCATCCAAACGAGGTTTGTATTTGTGTTGATGTGATGCTTATTTCCTTATGTTTATTTATGATATATTTATTGTTATTATGTTTATGAAGTTAATGTACTTCAGGGTTTTGATTATGAAAACAAAGTGATCTCTAGTGGAGTGATTGATGCATATAACACTGTTCACTTCCCGGTTAGCCATATTGTGAAGTGATACTGTTCTATGAGGTATGAGGGTTAGAACTGGATTAGAAGTGATCTTAGCGACCTACTGTGCTACTGTGTAGTCGAGAGGACAACTGTCAGCTGCATGTCGCACATGGTTTTATTGCGAGTAGATCTTGATCTCTTATCTATCTACTTTTAATGTCTCAGTACTTGAATGAGAAATCTCTAGAGTAAGAAAAGTGTGCTGCTCTTAGCATCTAACTTGAGTGACCATAACTCTAAACTTTATCATCTCTGTATATGATACTTCTCTGAAGGAAATATCAGCGCTGTCACAGCTCATTACAGTTAACAGTACGGCCTCACTCTTAAATCTCACTTTACTGATCTCACCATTTTCTAACCAACCTGCTTCTTATGCTAATATCTTAAGTAAAAAGTGTTCCACTCAATGTAGCTTAATGCGCGATTTCACCTATTACATCAGAATTGCCGATTAGGATCGGAAGATTTTCTATGTAATTGATCTAAACTGATGTCAATAACTAGATACCTCCAGCGCTTATGACAGCCGATTTACCAAACACCCCTTCATAGAAGAACTATCCCTTCATACGGTTGTACACTTTCTCAATATAATTAGTTAAAATCAAAGAGATCTTTAACGTGTCTTTCAGAATTTCAACATTTAGTTCCTATCTTTCAGTTAATCTCTGAATCAAAACTAAAAGGTTGATGTTGTAGACATTCCTTATTGGAAAGCATCAGTTAAACATGCTCCTAATCTGGGTATTTTGAACCATTCTAGTATAGGAAACGATAACAGAGACAAGCACAACTAAATGTATTGAAACACAAAATTACAGAATCTTAGTAAAATCTGTAAACCATACAATAAACACTTCGTTTGAAAAATGTCAATCAATTGTTTCAGACTTGATTGTTCCTTCCATTCTATATCAATCACTTTCTATTGTCGTTCTCTTCTCTTCGATCTTCTTAACTTTCTGCCACCAGGTCTTTGACTTTCGATTGATGATATATACTACTACTATCTGTCGAGATCATCAGCACACACCACACTTGTGCATGTGATTGATTCTAGTTGTAGACTCCTTGGAAGTCAATATATAAGATAATATTTTCTGTATAGTCGTCGAATCACTTCAGTTTCACTCACTGACTCTTTCTACGAAACCATTTAATGAATTTCAAACCTATTCAGAAATGAGGTCAAAGGTCATTTATAAATTGGAGTCTTGCCAGAAATATCTACACATTCGTTTTACATGTCTTTGTGGTGATATTTAGATTTTATCAATTATATCACGAATGATACTTTCGGCATATATTAAAAGCCTTGATAACATTGGAAAACTGTTTGTGACTACTGAATGGTCGTCCCTATCCACCATTGAATGTTGATTTAGTGATCTTAGAGCCTACTGAAGTGTCTTGTGTTAGGACAAAACATCTGTCTAGTACTCAACTAGTTCAATAGTTATGATCATGAGTCATTTGAAGCTAGATCACCATGAAGAACCTGGAACCACTGGATGGCCATTTCGTTCATTGTTGGACTCCTCAGCAGTGCGCATCCACGACCCCGTCTCGTGGGATTCGAACCCAGGAACTATCAGTCTCACGCCAGGCGTGCTTAACTAACTAGACTATTGTTAGTTCATGTGTAATTTTAAATTCCAATAATGTTCATATTTCCATTATGTTCTGTTGTTGTTTTTATGTTTATTTGTTACATAACCAGCCATTAATTGCAGCCGGTTTCCACGATCAATCACTTGTTCTTTTAAATGTTCAAAATAAATCTATAAACAAAGAAGTATAAAACCAATTAAGGAATATTTTATCACACTCACATACACACACACATTTTGTACATGATTATTTCTCTCTTCATTCTTTGCTGACTATATCAATTATGTTTATTGTCTATCAGTATGTTTGTTTATCACATAATGAACAATAATAGATCATAGTTAAATTGGTTTTAATTCAACACAGAGATGAAGAGAACAAATACTTATCGGTGTTTCTTTACTTATCATTGTGAATATCCCTGTGATCATCATCATCGTCATCATCATCATTCTTATTATTTTTCGTTTCTCATCTATATGAACTGATTGGATGAATGAATACTCTTCATTGTTTGAGAATCCACACACACACACACACACACACATACACATACACAGATAATAGCTTATTGTTTCAACATTGTCCATGATTATTTTAACTTGTAATTATTCTTTACAATGTTCTCTATGTTAGTACATTATGAACAAATAGCTTTTTTGTTAGGGGGTGGTGGTGGTTGTTGATGTTGTTGTTGTTGTGGTGGTGGTGGTGGTGGTGTTGATGTTGGGGTTAGGGTTTCCATTTATCTAATAGATTTATCTAATAATATATAAAACGATCATTATTTCACATTGTAATTTACAGTTTATTCATATATATAATTTTTCTTTATTCTGTAATAATTTAAGATACTATTACTATAGTTGTAAAGTTTTTGTAGATAGATTTATAAAATTGAACTCACATATATGGAAATGCCTTGGAAAAATACTGTTTTACTATTATCATTTTTATTCATAAGTTAAAAGCAAAAATTATGATCAAATTATCTTGATGTATCATTTAAAGTAATGTCATGTTTCATAATATTCTATTCAATTGACTATAATCGTGATGTTAAAAGTGTATATATGTGTGTGTGTGTTTGTTTGATTGTATGTATCATATATGAACATGTATAAACATAAGTGTACTTTTTTTTTAGTTATACCCGGTCTTCCTGACGATATTTCCTCTATATATTTGAGGTTGTTTTATTATTCAACTATTGCGTTCATATACAATGAGAGTATATATATATATATATATATATATATATATATATATATATATATATATATATATATATATATAATATATATATTATTTATGTTAAACGGTTTTTGTTTACACATTAAGCCAACTTGGGAATTATTATTATTATTTTATTTATATTTACACATAAGTATAGGTACAGGGAGGCACCAAATACATATGCGCCACACAAATCTCAATTGATTTGTGTGAGGGCTGTGATACTGCTCGGGTGCCCAAACCGAAGCAGATGGTTTTCTTAGGGGGCCACACCCCGAGCCTTTGACCTGAACGTCTGACCCACAAGGCAGTGGAGCATCGTGAGGAGATGCAGTCCCATGGTAGCCGGTGACCAACGATTGGTTCATACGCCATTTGTTCCCGCAGGATACTGGAGCCCATGTGCACCATTGATTTGGGGTCCGGTTAAAGCGCCGGAAATTCGCTTTTCGTCCTCTCATTTTCGTAAACAACACCCCCGCCACGAGAAGGCAGTGAGTAGGACTTCTCTGGCAGAGGCTATATACGTGGCCATGTGAGAGCATTTCGAGAGGGAGAGCGAACTCTCCCCACTCTCGGCCGTACCAGGGCATTTGGGGGCCAACTTGGGAATGTTTTATGTGAATATGACATTTCTAACTTGATAATATTGTTTTGTTTAACTGGGTTTAGGAAAGTGTATATGAATTGACGTGCGATTTTCGAGAGTCGATATTGATGTTGTTTCTGATCAGATAGGTGTTATATCTAGAGTTTAGATTTTTAATAAACCGCATATGTTTAAAAACACTGCAGGGTACTTCTTAACCAATATTTAACTTCCTAACAGATGTAATGTGTGCCATTCGTGTTGTTGAATGAACTATGTGTCTCAATATATCAGATGCTGTATAAAGTTTCACTCGAGTAAACTTTCTATTAATATCAAAGCTTACATATTTTCTTAGGCGGTAAATTTATGAGCAGTTATTTCAAACAAACATTTTGTTAACAAATGCTCCAGATCTGTATATCTTAACTTAACTCTTCTGGTAACGGCAAACGGTACTCATGAGCTTCAAGTTCTTCCTTTAAACCAGTGTAATAATTTACGCATAGCAGGATACTTCCATTAGGCATTCTAGCAATCACTATTGATGCTGCTCAGAGAAAATCACCGGTTCTACGATTGCACTTTATTTCAAGCGTTCTAATTCTTGTGCAACAATAGGTAGCGCTGCAAAAGGTACAGGTGTTTATTTTCGAAAAACGAGAGTAGCCCCATGTTTGAGAGTTAACAAGACTTTGGCCTTCGTACATTCTCCCAATCCTTCTTCAAACACGTTGTGGTGTCTTTGTAGTACGGCATTTTTCTGGTTCCACTCTAAGGGGTTGTTTCAAGTTTACCAATCTCTGGCACTCGGTGGTTACTTCTTGTAGTGTTATATTCGGGCGTTGTCCAATTTCACTCAAAATTCTGGTTCTATTATCAGCATCTTCAGAGATTAGAGGCTGCACACAGACACGAGACACTTAAGCTGATCTTCTGTCATTGTTGATAGTTTGAACTGCTCACAATCATGGTTTACTTAACCCGTATGCTTCACCCAGTCATTATCACGTGCTTTTATTATCTTGAGACACTGATAACGAATATTAAACAAGGATGACTGTTGAGCAGAGATTTGTGACAAATGTCAATCGTCGCATCGAAAGAAAAATCTGTTTTATTATTTGGAAAGATGAAGTTACTGTACCGTTCATGTTCAACTGTACCAAGTTTTCTTAAAAGCATTCTGACCACGACGGTGTCACCAAGTTTTCCGAGGTCAACCTTGTACAACTTTTCGTATTTCTTGAACCAGGTTTCAAAAGTAATGCCAGCCAAACCATCGAAATTAAACTCATGAATAGAACTAACAATGTGGCCGACATGAGATTTGAGATCATCTGTAAGCCACTTTCGATTTAGGTTCATCTGCTGGATTAGAGTCTCTAGAATACGAATAGCAACTGTTCAAAGCGTTTTTTTGATGCTTCAGCAAGGTTTTAAATTGGTCAAAGATAAAAGACATCTTGATAAGTTAACTCCGTCGCCAGTTGTTATATCCAGGGATTAGATCAATAATATGGCGCGTAAAACTTGAGCACTTTAATGCTAAAATCCTCCGAAGTCGCGAATGAGAAGACAAGTGATAGTAATTTTATTTCAAACAGTATGAATTATGGTACAAAATTGTTGGGTATTTATAGTTTTTAGTAAAAACGAAACCATCATTATAGTTATTCAATCCATACACAGGGAGTTACTAGTATTTTTTCAATAGGGTAGCCACAATAATATGTTCTTTAATGTCCTTTTAGATGTTCTTTTACTTTTTTTGTCTTCTTCGCGTTCAGCCGTTTTCCGTTTGTGAATAATATGGCTAACCCACAAATAAACAGTGTTCATTACTGTATCATGTATTGTTTTTTTGGCAAGTTTGATCGCAAGTGCTTTTGGCGCAGCATGAGGATTCTTGAGGTGTTGTCCACTCTCGATTGGACCATAATTTGTGAAACATCATTGAATGATCCTTAAGTGACCATGTAATCCTTCATTTGATTGTTGTGTTTAAAAGAGCCGTATATTGATTTAGAACTATGGCTTAGGTTGGGCAATTAGAATTTAGTTTTTCACAATTAGCTGAAATCGTGTATAATGCCCAAATGCTATTTAACTTTATGAAAAAACGAGTTTCTCACCGAAATCCCAGACATCCTTAACTTTCTTGGTTCGTCCATAAAATGTGACTGACATTTTCTCTACATTTCAATTTGAAATCAACTCAGGCTAACAACCAGTAGAAAAAACTACAATGAATTGAAGGTCATAGATCAGTTAAGCTTATAAAAGGACCAAACCAAATATTAAACCAATAGCCACGCATTTATGGACAATAACCGATAAGAATGTCGTCAACTGAACAAGTTGTAAAGAAAGTGTTGTGGATCAGTCAATTAGTGTTGATTATGTTATCTGGATAGACAGTGAAGTGTTCACGGTCGTCCTAATGAAAGAATACGGTAGTTCTGCAAATACATATACTTAGTAAATGAGAGAGTTTGACGTTATTTTTGTCGTGTTTAAAATGCGAACACTAAAAGTGAAGGGTAACATCATATGGAATCGTATAGCTTGCATTGTGATAAGAAGGCGATGAGGATAACAGTATTGAAACGTGAAATGTTTGGTGTAATAGACTACAGATTGAGTTATGTTTTGCGAGTTGACCATGCGTATTTTACAGACTTCAAATATGTCGTCTAAAATCAGACAAAACTATAAACTAACCGATCACTACATTATGGTCGATATCATTTAAGCCTACCCCATAATGATTATTGATTTTCATCGATCAAGTTGCAATCTGTTGATAAGATATGACATCCACACGCTGAATACTTCATTTAAAATATTACATAATTTGTCCTTCACATTCTGTAGGATTTTTATAACCCACAAGTCCCTTCCTTCTCCGTTCATTTGAATGCAATATCGAAGTGTGTTTTGTTTACAGCTTGTACAAGTAATAGTGTGGAATGCATTAAACGTGAAATTCCTTCACTATGAATTGCATTTAATTGCAAAATCCACTCTGAACACTAAATGTTGAAACGGATTTGAACCCAACATCTCTATGCTTTACAGACGAATATATCGGATTCATGATAATAGCTGTTGGATTGTTTGAGTGAAATTCACTTATCCATAAGGCTACAATGCAACACTGCATCATAACTGACATCGGTTTATCACGAAAACCCAAATCCTATATCCTCAATTCTGACACTGATAGCACAATTCTAACCAATAACAATCGGTTGACTCTATAGAAACCTTATCGGTATTGATGTGGATCCATTTATTGTCAGTGATTTTATTCGTGACAGCAGTTAATTCTTTTCTTCATACTTAAGGAAAGAGACTGAGTTTGATTCTTCATTGTCCTGACGAAGAACATATTTTATGTGTTTGTATCAAACGGCTTTCCATATAAGTTTATCATATTAATCCTAAAAACAATGTTCTCTAGTCAAACTATATTTATCACCAAATTGATGAGAAGGTTGACACCATCAGTAGAGCTTATCTTCCGAACACAATATA